TCCCAACCCTTTAGTTGCACTCCTTTTTATCCTTAAAAACCGCAAACCACAATCATGACTCTCAGAATTTTCAACTGAATCGTAACATCCCCAGAGCTAATTTCACCACACTTCCCTGTTCCCTTTGTCCCTGTCATGTCTGTTCCCATCAACAAGTTTGCTTATTTAACAGTTTGCTTAGTTTTGCAAGTTTTACTTATTTCCTGGTCATCTCCAAGCTAGCCCTTGCTTTTATTATTGTGATTAAAAAATATATCTATATTAAAATAAGCTTCAGGCCATTAACATTTTTCCTCTCACAGGTCTGAGGCATCTATGGAAAAGATGATCATGCTGAGCAAAACGGATGGAAAGAGAAGAGGAGGCTGGCAGCCCAGGAGGTGGACAGATGGCCTGCTGGAAGCCACAGAAAGGCACTTAAAAGAACTGGGTAATGCAGCAAGAGACTGCTGGCTGGGGAATTCTGGGAGTTGCAGTCCACACATCTTAAAGTTGCCAAGGTTGAGAAACACTGCACTAGACACAGGGATCTTTTAAAAGCTTTATTCTGTACAGAGAAAAGGATGCTTGGGAATAAACTCCCAATCAAGCACAGACACCCCCCACCCCACCCCTCCTTACAGTGAGTTCCTTTTATACAGTTCCTACAAAGCACATTGCCTCTTAGGGTGAGTTCTTGCAAGGAAACAAAACTTTTTAAAAAATCATAACTTCCTAGGTCATTCATCACAACCAGGTTAACTGTCATACTGCTCTCCTGTTCTCATCCATACATTTTTGTAGGAACTTACTTACAAAGCACTTATAACCGGCCTGATCTCAGCCTCTCTGTCTGCTGGTTTCTAATTATCTTGCTCAATAACTGGCAGAATCAGTGAACAAACATGGGTTCTCTACACCCTCAAATTCCAGCTGTGCGGGGAACCGTAACAGGTTCCTCCCATTTCATTCCCATGTATTCTCTTATCTACCACCTCTTCCTAACTCTAAGCTACAAGGCCCTGCAGTGCCCTCTTTGTCACTCCAATTAACTTAGCTAGTTTAACAGACACTGGGAAAACATCATGACTGTAGCTAAGCTAAGAAGGCTATTTCATGACTACACTGAGATTTTTCCACTCCAAAGCAGCTCACATTATCTTGCAAGGTCTTTATAGCTATTCTGGGGGGCCAGGGCTGTACTTTTAGAAACCATGACACCCTTGGAACTATTTCATCTAAGTTCCTTAGAGCTATTTTTGCAATCCCAATATATTAAAAATGTTGCACTTAATTTAGAAATGGGTTTATCTTGGGGCCTAGAGCTTGGTATCTTCAACCTTCTAAAAATAAAGGTTTCTTTTTTCTCTGTGGGTCTGGCCACACCAGTCCTTAAAAATCATTTCCAAGACAATGTAGATTTTGAAAAAATTATTGGAGAGCTCTGTCCTTAGGCTTTAATAACGCCAGAAGTATGACATATTTGGGTCACTGATTTTTCAAATCAACCTTAAGTCTGGTTTCCAGACTTGCAGCCAATCCCCCCCCCCACAAAAAAAAATTATGATGTGCCATCCTCTGTTGGAGAAATATCTGTACAAGGGAACTCCTGATCCATCCCATTTGTGACTTACACGTTTTCTCTCCTTTCTCAAGATTAGATTTGTTTTGTCTACTCAAGCAAGATGCTCAAGTTCTTCCTTCTACAAGCACTTTACAATGGGTTTACAAAGCCAGGTCAACACACAACAGGTCAATGTTACATTCAGTAACATTTCATGGGCAAGACCTGAATACACAGGAATCAGGGTGTATTTATAATCAAGCAACATGGAAATACAGGATTATAAATGTGATTGGTTACAGATGAATTATAAAAAGTTTTTTAAAAAGATCTGAGTTGCTATGTTGTACCCACTAACTATATTTGCTAAATGTTAAGCTGTCCTCACCAACTTCCTCTTGAAGCCTAACCACAAAAGCTATTCTTATGTACCTACTTACTTACTTCTGCTTGCTAAATATTTGCTTAAAATATTTATTAATATTCAAATGTTTGGGGTAGTTGTGAAGGCACCAAGCTAGAAACCAGGAGACTATGAGTTCTAGGCCTTCATTAGGCAGGAAAACCAGCTGGGTGACTTTGGGCCAGTCAGTCTCTCTCAGCCCAACCCACCTCACAGGGTTGTCGTGGTGGTGGAGAAAATAGGAGGAAGGAATATTAGGTAAGTTTGCTATTTTGAGTTATACATAAAAATGCAGGAAATAATGATAATGGTTTAAATTCTTCTACACCCCCTACCTTTCATCAATCATAGTCCTGACACCTAGCTTGGTCCTTGTTGACCTGGGAGATGATTGATCTGGTATAGGTGTCTGCAAATTACATCTCACCATATTGTTTATGGGAGACACACCTTCTGTCTGGCTCTTCTGATGAGACCTGTCCAGTATGGCTGAACCTCTGGCATAGCTCTCATCTTCCTTGGAGCACACAAGTTCCACAACCACGTCAAGGTTGTGCCTCACACTGGGAGTAGGCACAAATTCTTTTACACCCCCTACCTTTCATCAGTCACAGTCCTGAACTTTGGCAAGACTGGATACAGAGTCACCCGTTGGGGGGAGATGGGCAGCATACAAATTTAATAATAAAAATAAATAAATGCATTGCCCTCTGCCACCTTTACATATATATAAAAAGGGTATATATAACACAGTGTTACCTGGAATTTTACACTTCATTATTACCATTTTAAAAAGGTGGTATTAGCATTTTTTAACATGGCTGTCCAGGCCTCTTTTCTACCTTTAGGAAAGCATGTTTTTCTTCTGGGCCAAGGCCATTTCTTTTGGCATATTTGAGAACTTGCCTTTTCAGCAACTAAACAATAGAGAGCATATTCTGAAAGTCCTTGAACACGCTTGCAAGTTTTAAAGATACAAACCCAGCTGGGAAAGGGAGGGACATATCCCATAAATTTGCCACTTGTGGAATGTTATCTGGAATCAATGTTTTCTATTGTTCAATTCTCATGTGTAATCAATGTCTTTTGTTTACTTGCTGACATATCACATATGCTGAATGTATGTATCATTTGTTTCTGTACCCTATAAAAAGACTGCCCTTAATAAGCACATTTTGCCTGAATTACTGGGTGGTTCGTATTTTCGGGTAGGCTAAGAAGCCACCTTTGCAAAGGTAAAATGGTTTTCTCTCCCAAATTCAGGGAATCAGTCTTCAGCTCCACATCACTTGGGGTGCCTGAGTTTTAAAGACAACACCACCACCCTGTAAAAATATATACCCCCCT